GGTGCGGTTTTCAACATTTTTTTCGTTATCTGGTCCCAGTACGCTTTTACTCGGCCAGAAAAAAGTATGCGTTTGGCTATTGAATGAATTTCAATCACACACCCAAAACAAACATCCGAAACAAAAGGTAGCGGCGCAAACAAAAAAAGTACACGCTTGGCGCAAGACACAAAAAAGTATGCGGACACAGTTGCTGGTAAGGTTTAGACCCAGTTAGAGCCTGATACATCAGAATAAGAAAGCCTTGTTTTGAAGAAAAACATGATGAGTTCTTACTTGGGTCCGTAGACACTAAACCCTGGCCCCTAAAACCTAAGCCTGCAAGCCCTAAACCTCAAGCCTTAAACCCTAGACCTTAACCACAAACCCTGAACCTTAAACTCCAAAGCCTGAAACCCCATCTATACCATCAGCCCTAACCCTTAACTTGGGACCTAAACTTCGGCCTAAACCGTAAGGCCCTAAACAAGTCCTCAGGGCCACAACAAAGCGGAAGATGCGTAGGAGCCGGAGCCTGCGAGTGGGTGCGGGGATCTCGCCATGAAGCCCCATGCCCAGAGGTACTTGGAGGATCATAGGACTTAGAAAGTATTAGGGTTTAGGGTTTAGGGTTTGGGGTTTAGGGTACTTGGAGCATCATGGGACTTAGTAAGTAAGGTTATATGTCCCTTAATTGGGGTTTCAAGTAGTTATAAGTATAGTCACCTCAATTATAACCCTACTTACTAAGTCCCATGATCCTTTAAGTACCCAAAGGTACAGGGGTTTGGGTTTAGGGTTTAGGTCCACATAGATACTGACATTATGAAATGATAAGTCCCAAAAGACCATCATGATTATGGTATTGGGGACCTACTTCCGTAGTCGTATATTGGACCCTTGGATATAACCCTAAGGCCCCGAACAGCCGGAAACCCCTTACGTTGTATGGTTTTTTGGCCCCAGGGTCTTAAACTATGAGTTTTTTTACATGCAGTGGGCCTTTCTCTCGCACCCCTCACAGTTTAGGGTTTAGGGTTTAGGATTTAGGGTTTAGGGTTTAGGGGTTCCCTTACAACACCTAGCAACTACTATCTACTGAAATTTTGCACGGAGGTTCAAGAGTTTTGCCATGTTTGACTGGAGCGGCTGGGATGACGCTGTCCTAGCATGTGAAGTTTTCGTGCTGTGGGTCGAGGGAACAAAGGATGAAGAAACGGAAGCAAAGCCATTCGGAGACCTTCACTTGCGGATGCGGGTCTTGGTACTGTTGATGGACAAAATCCTGCATGACCTTATATACCTAAACTATGGGATTTATGGTACTATACTATATTTGGGACATGCAGGATTTTGTCCATCAACAGTATGTGGTGTTCGTCTTTCGTTTACACATGTTACACGGTCCTTGCTCGTCTATGAAACTTGTCTCCTAAACCCTTCAAAGGACCAAATACTAAACCCCCTGTACGGCCCTGTCAAGGAAGCTTTACCAAGGAGCCCTATAAACCCTGAAGAAGTCGAGGGGCGCCCTAAACCCTAAACCCAATAAACCCTCAAGAAGTCGAGGGGCGTCTTCAGCATCCGGGTGATGCGAATGATTCGCACGGCCCGCAGTGCAGAAGAGTTGCCAATGCCCTGGAGCTGGTCGTCCTCTGGTCATAAAAGGTTTAGGGTTTAGCGTTTGAGCTCCTGGTTAAGGGTTCCTCTTTGGAGGGCTCCTTTCTGACGGCTTTAGTGATCCTCGCAGGGACACCTCTGATACAAGGATAATACCTTACACTAGATGCACTGTGTCGCGGTTGGGATCAGGAACATAGCAGACGCGATGGTGAGAATTGACCGCCAGACGTCTGCATTTGTCGAGGTTGACGCCTAAGCCATTGGCGAGAGCATGCTGATATTGCAACAAGTGGAGCTTTTCTAGGGTCTAGTATGCTCTGAAACCCAATCCTATACCCTGAACCTTAAACCCAAAACCCTGAACCCTAAACCCTTACAGCCCTCAACCCTCAACCCTATTTCAGCACATACGAGCAGTCCTCCTGGGTGATGAGAACCTGGCGGAGCGGCTTTCGGGGCCCTCGGGGGGTTCAGGTGCTTGTTTTGGGAGTACCTTAAGGCTCCTAAAAGGGTCTTGGGCTTTCTGGGGGAGGGTTTCCGCTTTGGGGGCTAGGGTTTGGGATCTCACCACAAGGATCCAGGAGCCGTAGGGCCCGTAGGGTAGGGTTTAGGGTGCAGCGTTTAGGGTTGAGGGCGTTAGGTGTTTGCTTTGGTTCAGGGAAGCTTGCGTTAAGGCAGCCAGTCTGTGCATTATGGGCTTAGGGCTTTCTTGTTGGCTGGAGCTGTTGTTGCGTTATGCTTCCGGGGTGAGGATGTGGGGTTTAGAACCTCGGGGCTTATTGGTTTAGATATTTGCAATTTAGATCCGTGTCAGTGGGCGAGTATGTGAGGACCAATATGTACTTAGATGTTTTAGGAAAGGTAAGATGGGCTTTGAAGCTGGTTGGGTTGAGACTTCATGTGCACCATACACCCTAAACCATCTATTTCGTAAACCCCAAACCCTAAGCCCTCAAGCACAAACTGGGAGGCCCTACTTTCCAAAAGCAGATTTCTTCAAGGCTCACGGTTTGGACTCGAAATCTACCGAGAGACGGTATAGCATAGTATAGGATAGCATAGTAGGGTAGAGTATAGCATAGTATGGTAGAGTAGAGTAGAGTGTAGAAGAGTCTAGCGTGGCAAAGTCTTAGTATGGTCATCTGCCTGAATTCCAGTTTCCTAAACCCTAAACCCAGGTTTAGGGCTTATGGGGTATAGGCAATCATCAACCATGAACTCCTGAGCCTGAGGAAGCTCAACAGCCGATAAGTTCGCAAGATTCTTAAGCCAGGAAATCGGTTTAGGGTTTAGGGTTT